AAGCTGCTACTGTCATCGAAGCTGCGGGAGGAAGAGGGAGAAGGACGTTAGAGGTGACGACGCACTGCACACGTAATAAATGCATGAGATGAATCTGCTGACGCTTCGTGGCAACAGACGGCGCTGGACGTAGCTCTAAAAACTACTGGGGGTCAAAAAAGGGATAGGTTCGCAACTAGCACAGAGTTATTTCTGTAAAAAAAGAAGTTGGTGAGGGTGCTGGTTGAGGGGCTGTGGACAATAAGGGTTAAACAAAATAAAAGACGATGATATTTTTGACAAAAGGAAAATCCCTATCCAACAAAATACAAGACGACGAGTACCGGACTCTCGACCCCACACAAGTACCACATTCGAAGACAAGAACCCATCCTTGACTCCGTTTTCTCTGCATACCTATAATCAGCCCTTCAAGAAGCCCTCAAGACGACACCGTTACTTGGGACCTGAGACCTTTTTTTGTGCGTAGAACTTAAAAGGCACAGCACACCACCTAAAACATTAGAGCACGGAATTCGAAAATGAATTTCCCTCGAAAATATCTCCGAACAAGAGTGAATAATAATGACCGAACAAGGCCGGAGGCCAAAAAAGGATTTTTAAACGTTCGCTCGCTAATGTAATGCTGCTATTCCTGCCACACTCCAGACGCAGGCATTCAACGCGATCTTGAAGCCAAAGGCGCTCCGGGCGGGGCGGGATCCCCACTCAGGTCAAGTAGACACAACCCTCGGTGTTATTCATGGTCGGAGCCATCTCGCCTCCGGCCAGTTGGTTATTCATGAAGGTGTGGTCCTGCAGTGAGGAGAAAGGAGGGGGCAAAAGTGGGGGACTACAATTCTCGAAGGCTCCAGGTGAACCTCTTCAAATACACAATCTACTTTATCGACCCGGGCCGCTGAGGCATCTTCACAAAAAGAGGCACCGAAAGAAAGGGTCTCCATTAGGGCTACGCGATGCCAAAACAAAGGGCCCAAGATGAGGGATGACAAGAAGACGCTTAAAGATTTTTTTTTCTTTCTTTCTTTCCTTCATTTCAAGTAGCGCAGCCATCAAACCGAGCGATGCCACTGCATTGCTGGTCCCCCATCACGGACACTGTTTACCGACAGCTAAAAATAAATGTCCAATCATGAAATGCAGTCCATGCGGGAGCAAACACGACTACATTGAACTGGCGAGCAGGTCAAAGTTTCTCCCAAAACCAGTTTCGGCGGCAGACGAAAATGGTTGTGGTGCTGTATAGAACACGCTTATATAGGCCTATTTACATGGATTATGTGTGTGGGGGAGGCAGGAGAGAGATCGAGAGGGGGAGGATGACGGCGCGCCGGAACCACGGGGGCCGAGACAAATTGCTGAACATTCTTCCGCGCCAACGAAACACGCGTCGCCTGCTTTACCCCGAGCGCATTACTCAGCCCTAAGATGTTGGGGCGGAAGGCTGGACGCCTATGATGGGAAAGGCACACCCACTGACCGTTCATGGATTGGAATACAATACAGTACAACGGCTGACGCTGTCCCGTTGTCGATAGTGGAGTGCGCCTAGTGAAATGCGGCAACGTTTGAGCGTAGACTTTCTCTCTCCATTTCCCTTTCCACCTCCTAACCTCTTTTTGACTCATTCCCTTTGCTTCCTCCATCGTTTTTTCGAGCTCTGTAAGACTATCAGCTTATACCGTTCACTGCCCTTCCATGTATGTGTGTGTATACATACACATACACACACAAACACACACACATATATGATGAAAGGTGTATAAAAGATTTCGAGAGAGAGAGAGAGAGAGAGAGAGAGAGAGAGAGAGAGAGAGAGAGAGAGAGAGAGAGAGAGAGAGAGAGAGAGAGAGAGAGAGAGAGAGTGAGAGTGAGTGAGGGGGGGAGGGGAGAGAAGAAGAAGAAGAAGAAGAAGAAGAAGAAGAAGAAGAAGAAGAAGAAGAGAGAGAGGAAGAAAGAGAGGAAGAGAAAAAGACACATAGACGAGAAAACAATCTGAACGCAGGAGCGACGGAGAATTTCACAGCCCGTAAAGCGACCACGACTCCCCAGCCGTCCCGTCCCATACTCCTCTCGCACTCCCTCCCGCACCGCAGCACTTCCACTCCGACTCCCTCCACCATAAAATCTATAACCTCCATATATATGTCAGCATCCCGAGGCACGACTTCCTTCCCATTACAAAAACCCCCCTCCCCCGTTTCCCGTCCTCATCCCGATCGAACCCTCCTGATTGCCTAAAAGTAATTTATAAATCAGAGGGAGATCAACTTCCATAAATAAAGGATAACTAGTTGCAGAGGGGAGATTGCATTAAAGACGCAATTTGCCTTCCGTCATTGGCATAACACTCCATGGTTTTCTCGTTGTATCACTCCTCATGCTAACTGTCTGCGATATATTCAAATACATTCTGTGAAGTAAAGGCAGAGGCTAATATGAATGGATAAAAAAGGCATGGAAAAAAGTAAGAATTTTTTTTATCTCTCCTCAAAAGACAAAAATAGCAAAAAACACACATGCAAAATCCCAGTAGAGGCGCGAGACGTCCGTGTGTACATAACCCAGACTTTGGCCTTATAACTCTCTGCGCACACCTCACTTGTCACTAAGCCGCTGAATACATAAACCCTCACACTCTGCTACTGTCACACTCACTCAGACACACGCGACGCACTCGAACGAACGGGGAAATCGGGGCAGGAGATATAATGTGGTTAGAACAGCTATTCAGTTTATTTCAGTGGAATATTCATCCCAGATATCCTCCTTTCTTAAGCTGCCTGTGTATGGATCCGAATGTTATTACTTTAATGAAACTGCTGAATATCTAAACTTTAACATTCTCATACTATTTGTTATCAATTTGTTAACGAAAATTACTTTCCTATACTCCATTTGCATATTCCCCATTGCGAACAACAAAGACAGAATGAGACAATAAAATACAACATGGGGTAAAATCCTCCATGGCCGGGCGAGGCAAAGTTCGTCTAATGACCCGATACTCCCGAGAGCAGATCGCCCTGCCCCCCATCCGTACCCCTATCCCTCCCCTCCATCCCTGGCCCGCCACCCCAACCCTGCGCAACATTTTTCTCCTGTCAGACCGCCCTCTTCCGTCCACACTCCCGCACGCCCTTCCGTCAACCCTCCACCAACCTCCATCTTCCCTAACGCTCGTGACACAAAAAGGGATTGAAAGATAGGGAAGAGCTTGCTGCCTCTCGCCGCTTCCGCTCTTCCATCACAGCACAAAAGTTTGCTGCCATCCTCTCCCCTCTTTCCTCCGACGAAGGAGTCAATGAATCTCGCAAAACTGACGCTCTTACTTCTTCCCTCGTATGAGCTAGAGACCCCGACAGCCTCCTGAAGCAGCCCTTGACATGAAACTCTTAAACGTGCCATTCTGATTTCAGTAAGGAAGAAAATGCTGTAAAACGAGAGACCCGCTACCAGTGTATGTTCGTCTACGTACATGTGCGCGGCAAAGACATGCATGTGTGGCGAGACACATACTTCCAAGTGGCATGTCTTGTGTCTCCCAGAGATTGGATATTGATTCCTGATCCAACAAAAACTACGTAACACGCCACCTCTACCTCGGCTTTGCAGGTTTCAAAAAAAAGAAAGAAAGAAAAAAGAGGGAACATCACAACCTTAGTCTCCACTTCTCCTCCTCCTAAGAAGAAAGGATTAGCTTCCTTCCCCGCTGCAACGGGGCCATGATGAAGGAGACAGATTGCTTCGCGGGAACGCAGGCAAGGACGAAGGGAAGGACGGCAAGGGGCGCGGAGCAGGAATGAAATCGACAGAGGAAGGGAGAGGAGTTTATCCTCCCCTCCCCCCCCAGCACTTGGCGACGCTTCAACAAGGATCCCAATGGCCTCGGCAGTCGTCACAGCGAAGGTTCAGGACCGACAAGAATAATATTAGCAGCGCGTGAAATAAGACAGGTATGTAGTGTATTACCAAAACTGTGTGCATATATACTTCTAATTAACTGTCAAAACACAGTTCAGGTAATAGGGCATATAAATTTTCATTACATAATTTACATAATAAACAAGTATTATCTAACTATCGCATACGAAGAAAGTGAAAAACAACTCTCCCTCTCCCTCTTTACACAGAGGGAGGGAGACAGCGAGAAAGAAGAGAATGTGCACAAACAGATAATTAAATAAAGAATCTAGCAGGTCTTACTCTGCGTCATAAGAGTAGGAGTAGCGATGACGCAAGTAGGTGTCCTCGTAGGAGGACATGATGGCCGGAGTTGCTTCTTGACTCAACAAAGACGAAGATGCAGAGGAAAGTGAGGGGCCGAGGACGACCTGTCTGGGCAGCGGAGGGCGACGCCTTCCTCAGGGATTCATCGCCTGCGTCCTCCTCGAGCCTTCACCGACACTGACGCATGGCCGCGCTGTGCCCCGCCCCGCGCCGTGCTCTGGCCCGCACGCGGCCGTGTTTCCGAGGCGGCACGAGGCGCTCTCAAAGCCGAGATCGAGCCTAGAGGACGAGCGACCTGCGCGACGCTGCCTTGTTCTCGCGCGACGACTCGGAGGCGGAGACCGGGGGCGACGCGACAGAGTTCCTCGCAGTGTTGGCATATCAAGGGCGGGAATATCGGGCCAGCGGGAGGCTCCTCGTCACAGCCACGAAAGACACGGGCGCCACGGGCCGAAGGCTCTTCATACTGGCGAGTGGCGGGCGACTCGCAGCACTCGACTCTTGATTTACATAACAAACAAATTTGTTTCTATTCTGCTTCCTCTTATCCAAAAGAGAGACGTTCGATCACTAGTCTTCTCTTTCTTGATTCGGGGATCAACGTTTTCAAGTCAGTTATATAGCTCGATAACCATTTCCAAAAAACAGACAGAACGACAAAAGTCCGGGACGTTTTACACTCATTTATCTATTTTTTTTATTTTCAAAAAGTGTTTCTAGCAGATGACATTCACGAGCCTTCTATATATCACAAGAAATCACAGCGGAGGATGGGGGCCTTGCGTGACCCC